TTTAAGACATAGGGTCTTACTGTGTAGCAGGCTGATTTCAAAGAACAGTCCTCCTGCCTCAGCAGGAGACTAAAGGAACCAGGCAAGTTGACAGTACTCAAAGCTATTTTAATAATTAAAGGGGGAAATTAAAATTCTCTGATCTTTATATTTTTCATTTTTTAAAAATAATTAATTTTATGTGTATGAGTGTTTTGCCTGCATGTAAGTGCACCCATATTGTGCCATACCCTCAGAGGTCAGAAGAGGGCATCGGGTCCCTTGGCACTGGAGTTACAGACAGTTGTTAGCTGCCATTCGGGTGCTGGGAACGGCACCTGGGTCCTCAGCAAGAGCAGTCAATGCTCTTAACCCCTGAGGTATCTCTCCAGCCCCCTGTATTTTTTTCTTTAAACATTAGAAACTCTTGGTGTCCGTTATGAGTGTAGAGGGAAATGGAAAATGGTGAAGGTAGTGCCTACCAATGTTTATCTTTCTAATATTAGTAAAGAGCTCCTACTTCTATTTAGTGGAACCAAAATTTATCTTAGTCTGTTCCGTCTGCTTGTGGAACCTGCAGACCAGGTCATTGTTAAGCCCTTTATTGGTTGTTGCTCTGTCGCTCATAAAGCCCACTATCAATGCACTGCAGATTTGGCATCTGGTGGGTCTCTGCTTCAGAGATGACAGTGCCATGTGTGTTCACAAGAGACGTAAAACTTCTCCCTTACCTCTTTAAGTGAGCTAATCCTGTTTTCAAGGCCCTCACGCTCGTGACCCAGTCACCCCCCAAATCCCCACCTCTTATTGCCATCATCTTGGGGGTTAGCTCTCAACATAGGGCTTTTAGGAAACCACTTATATTCAGACCATATAACACTCTGTAGTTTTAAGCTTAGAAACCTTGGGCTGCTGAGATAGCTTGGTAGGCAAGGAGCTTGCCATGCAGGCCTGGCAACCCAAGTTCTATCTCCAGAATCTTATGTAATGATGGAAGGAGAGAACTGACTACCTCATCGTGCACGCCCACATGCACCTTATGCACACACACAATTTTTTTTAAATTTTTTTTAAGTGTATATACGTATATTGCCTGCATGTAGGTAAGTGCACCTGTGTTGTTCAGTGCCCACAGAGGTCAGAAGAGACTGTCGGATTCCCTGGGACTGGAGTTACAGACAGTTGTTAGCTGCCACATTGGTGCTGGGATTCGAACCTGGGTCTTCTGCAAGAACAATCAGTGTTCTTAACTGCTGAGCCATCTCTCCAGCCCCACAATAATTTTTTTTTAACCTAGAAAATTTGAGAATTCAAGAGTTTCATCTCTTTGTGAGAAACTTTAACAAGAATAGTTTGAAAAACCAGACCTGGCCTGTAATCTCAGCTACTCAGGAAGCTGAAACTGGAGGACCAGCTTGGGCAACCTAGTAAGAAGACCCTGTCTCAAAGTAAAAAGTCAGACCAGGCTGCAAATACAGCTCAGTGTGGCACAGCAGTCTATTTCTTACTACTTCTTTTCAAGCCAATGACACACAATCCAGTATGTATTCCTAGTAAATCTCCCCTCTGCCAAAGGTGGGCAGTTCTTCAGATGATGGCTGCCTACCTGAAACTCCCAAGTCAACACCAAGACCAGTGAGGAAACCAGCATTGCTGTTGAGACCAGGAGCAAAGCAAGGATGTTTAGATCCCCACGGTCAGATTGCATACTGCAGCGGTGTTAGCCAGACCAATGAGGTCAGAGAATCGTTTGATGAAGCATTTCAGTCGTCTTTACGCCATTTTAAAGATACAGAACATTGAGATTCACCCGAAATCCGTTTCTCGCTGTTTCACCTTCCGTCACAGACATGCCTCGTCTTGAAATGCATGTGTCATTTCCAGATGTTTAAAATAGCTTTGTAAAATACATGTGTGTATGTCTACATGTACGTTTGTGCTATAGACACAGTGTTGTTTGGGTGTCTTAATTTATTTACGCTAGAAATCTTTGCTAGTTTTCCTTCTCGTTGGTCACTGTTGACATTGGCTCATGGTGAGTTTGTAGAGATCTTGGATTTGGGGGTGTTTATTTTCATCTTAGCTACCCTTGTCATGTCCATTGTATGAAAATAAGTGAATTTGTTTCTGTATCTGGTAGAGAAACAGTTGTTATCTGGTTTTTTGTTTGTTTTTTTTTTGTTGGTATTTGGTTTTTTTGTTTTGTTTTGTTATTTTGCTGTTCACAGCTACAGTGAACATTGTGTGTGTCCCTGTGAACCTAGTGAGGAATGTCTGTAGGGCCAGGGCCTAGGAAGATGTGCAGCCTTACAGATGTGTGCTGCCTCAGTCTCAGTTACCAAATGCTCTCCCACGTGTTTACATCTGCCCTGCACACAACCTGTATTCTTCCACACCTATGAAGAATCTTCTTCTCCACATTCTATCAGACTGCCTCATCGTTTCAATCCTGGGTGTGTGCTCTATTTTATTTAAACATCTTTTCAGGTTTATATTTCTTAGAAGTTCTATTCAGAATTGCCTAGTCAGGTGTGGTTGGCGTATGCCTGTAATCCCAAGCTCATCAGGAGGGTGACAAGTTCAAGTCAAGCCTGTATAGGGATACCATGTCTCAAAGAGAAAGGAAGGAATGTATTTTATTGCTGTCAAGTTAAATTGGAGGTTGATTGGGATAAGAGTTACTCCATACCTGTACTTAATTGCTTTGCCAGCCTTGGCTCATATTGGTGTAGGAAGGAGTTGAGATGAGCAATCTGATTTGTTAGGTTTGTAATTGAGTATTGAACAGAAACGTCTGTGAAAAGCGTATTTTCAGTTTTTTTAAAAAGATCATGGTTGTACAGCTCAATCTAGCAGTTGCGCACTTAGGTGTTTTCCTACATGATAAAAACTTTTATCCCCACAGAACCTGCATGTAGATGTTTATAGCAGCTCTGTTCATAATTGCAAAAGGCTGGAAGCAGGCTGGGGCAGTGGCTCAGTCAGTAGGGCACTTGCTGTTAAGGTTCAGATAGCCCCACCCCCTCATCAACAGGGTCTCAAGGACTTCTCAAGCTCCTGAGAAAAGGGAACCAAACTGATAAGTACCCTGGTCTTTGAAGTCAAGAGAAGCAGACTTTTCTCCACTGTTTGGCCAACACAGCAGGCTTCCCCTTTGATCTCTAAAGAGGGCAGGTTTTAACAGTCTCACCGCCCCCAACTTTAAAAAAAATACATCTTCCCGCCTTCTGCAGGAAGCAGAAGCCCCCCCCTTAAAAAGACCCCAGCTCAAGACCGGGGTAGACATTTTCCCTGCCCAGAAGGGAATCTGTCCCATGTGTTCCTTTGCTAATAAACTCGATTCCAATGGAGTTTTATCTGTGTCCTGGTGCTTCTTCCTGATAAACCGGATTCATCCATAGGCTACTTTTTACCTATCACTTGCCCTGCGAGCATGAGGACTTGAGCTCCATCTCCAGACTCAGAGGTGTGTGTTTTGTTTTTAAGCGGGAGAAACATGTTGCTTGTAATCTTGGTACTGAGGAGGCAGAGACAGGTGGGTCCTTGGGGCTTGAGCTCTAGGCTAGTGAGAAACCCTGCCTCAACCAACCAGAAGCCGGGCATCGTGACTCACACTTTAAGCCCAGCACTTGGGAGACAGAAGCAGGCAAATCTTTGTGAGATAGAGGCCAGCCTGGTCTACATAGCGAGTTATAAGCCAGCTGGGGTGACAGAGAAACCCTGTCTCAAAAAAAAAAAATCAAGGTAGACAGCACCTGAAGAACACCACCTGGAGGTGACCTCCACTCGCACACATGCATACACACGATGTACACATACAAAACTGAAAACAACAAGGTTGTCTTTCAGTAGGTAAAGGAATACAAGCTGCCTTATCTGTACAGTGATCTGTTACCAGAAAAGCTACCAAGCCACTAAAAGGCACAAGTACATGCATGCTGCTTTGGTTCCAGTTATTATGACATTCTGGAAAAGACGAAACTTGGAGATAATAAAATGGTCAGTGCTTGCCAGGGTTGTGGGCAGGAGAGATGAATGAATCGCAGAGAGAGCACAAGGGACTGAGAAGAATTTCTCAGTACAATGCTGTGCTGTCCACCGCACTTAGAATCAGACAGGATAGACCATGAACAAGTCATGTAAACTTGATGAGAGTAATTTCTTGTTGCTTTCTTCATGTGTATGTGGTGTGTGCTTGTGTATATGCACGTGGGGCTTGCATGTGGAGTCAGAGGTCAGTGTCAGTGTTTTCCTCTGTCATTCTCCACTTTTTGTAAAGTGTGTCTCACTAAACCTGGAGGTCACATTTGACAAGACTAGCTGGCCAGCAAGCTCCAGGGATATGAACACAGGTTCTCCTGTGCGGCAGCCCTTTATCCCCTGAACCATCTCCCTAGCCCAGCTTTTTGCTTTCTTAATAAACAGTGGAATAAAATATTTGATGATTTTTGTGTGTATGGTTAAAGAATTTAGAACAAGCTGGGCATGGTGGCGCACACCTTTAATCCCAGCACTTGGAGGCAGAGGCAGGCGATCTTAGTGAGTTCAAGGACAGTCCAGTCTACATAGCGAGTTCCAGGAAAGCTGGGGCTACAGGGAAACCCTGCCTCAAAAAGACAAAAAAAAAAAAAAAACAGAAAAGAATTTAGAACAAAAACGTATACTTTGCTGTGTTAGAAGTCTTTCCAGACTGCAGTAGCTGAAGTCATCTGGGATGCTTGTCTTCGTTCTGTAGGATGGCCAGAGATATTCCTTGCTTTCATTCTTCGTCGTTACACAGTCTTCAGATGATAAACCGTCTCCATACATAGGTTTTTGGAGGACTTTGTTGTTTTCTTGTTTTCTTTTTTGGCACACCATCCATTCTGGGGTCTCTGTGGATCATTATGTCTCTTAGAACCAGGGATGCTTTAGATTCATTGAACTGTGACATAGCTAGTAACACTCCTAAAGGGGTGTGAGCACTGTTAGAGAGTCTTGTGATTTCTAGACCATGTGGTAAGCTCCCTCATGTCTTGCAGATGCTCCTTGTGTGGGTACGTGTGCAGCCACCCTCCTTCCTTGAAGTCTCACATGTGGAAGCATGCGAGTGACCAAAACTACAACTATGAGCAAGTAAACAAGGCTATCAACGATGCAATTTCACAGAGTGGCAAGTACGCAGTCCTGCCCCTCCCTGGGTTGCTGTATGGGAATGAAAGCGAGGAATACCTCTGCCCGTCCTACAGCATAGCCCATTGAAGGTCTGATGTGTTTTGTTTTTAAGAGTTCTGGGGAAATCGCCTGGAAAAATGCTGTCAACCAGCAGTAAAGAGAGAGCCGACCCGGTCACTGGAAGTGCAGAAAACTTGGGATCATTCTTGGAGCCAATTTCCCAACCACTCAGTGAAGTTGTAGATGGCAGCGAGCTGGAGAAACTGAGCCCCACAGGCAGCACCCCCGACATCTTGGGAAGGAGCTGCGGCCTGACCACCCCTGGCACCGAGTACTGCGTGCTGCTCTTCTGTTGCTGCATTTGTGGCTTTGAGTCAACCAGCAAAGAAAACCTTCTGGATCACATGAAGGAGCATGAGGGGGAAATTGTCAGCATCATCCTGAATAAGGACCACAGTACAGCCCTGAATGCCAACTAGCTGGAGCATTACTCAGGATCCCCCCGAAGCACAGCTCAGCCTTAGTGCTGTCAGATCACTAGCTCGGTAGACCAGAAGGACGAGTGACTTTGGAACCAGGCTTGTAATGAGAGACTGTCAAGTGGATGAGCAGTGATGGTATTTAAGTATTTTGAGAGAGAAGTGGATTGAGGAGGATGTAGAAATGTAATTCTGTACTAAACCTCTTGCCCCTTCTTAGTGTCGAGCATAAATATTATTAAAAGCTTACTGTAGTTCAAAGTTCGCAAGCAGTGAGTTCAGAAAGGACATTTCAGGAGCTCTTCCCAGCTTGGAGAGAGTGTCCTAGCAGAGCTGCTTTTTCCTCAGCTGTAGACAGGCTGAGCTCTGGTCAAGAGGGCGGCCCGCCCCAGAGGGTGATGTTGCTGTCACCAGCAGTCAGCATGAAGCAGGCAGGGCTCTGAGAGGACCCACTGAATCTTTCCCCAAGTTGATAGGAATGTATCATAGACCCAGTGTAGGACACGGTCCTTTACTCCATCTTACAAGAAAGAAAAGCCATCTCAATCAGATCTAGACTACAAACATTTAGGAAGTTAATTGTCTCGATTTTATCATGAAGTCCACAAGACTCAGACCAGATCTCAAGCTGACTGACTTCTTGAGCATAATGCGTCCCTCAGAGGCTCTTTTCAGTGTGGAGAGCCAGACGCCTCTCACAGTGACATAGATCCCCCAGTCCTCTCTGGTAAGTGAGGTGCACCTCTTCTCCACAGCCACGTGTCCTCTGACAGTCTCCTAGAGCCACACAGTGTGAAAACCCAGCCTTGGCTGGATGTGGTCATGCATGCCTTTAATCCCAACACTTGGGAGGCAGAGGCAGGCAGATCTCTATGAAGCCAGCCTGGTCTACATAGCGAGTTCCAGGCCAGCCGGGGCTACAGGGAGACCCTGTCTCAAAAGGCAAAAAAAGAGAGAGAGAAGGGAAAGAAAAAAAGAAAAACCCAGCCTTGGAAATGACTTGAAAGTCAGGTGCCTCTCAAATAGTGCAGCTGTTGAGATTTTTCCTTCTTGAAGTTTATTTAAATTTAGCAGAAGAATAAACCAGTATGACTAAAAATACATTGAATCTTCAGACTACTTATAAGAACTTTAAAGAGCAATATTTTTGCTGAGCTGGACATCAGTGTAGCTCTGTGGTAGAGTGTGATTGAGCGGGCCCCAGTTCAATGTTCAACACCACAAGGAAACGGTTTCTAGTCAGAAACACCATTTGGCAGGTGAACAGAATTTCCAACGAAGTCCATATTTTAGTGTGCAAGAGAATGAGCTAAAAACCAACTATAAGGACTTTGTACTCAAGCTTGTGTCAGGTGGATGTAATCTCACTAGTCACACACCTTGTGCTAGAATTCTCTCCAAGGGTAAGGAAGACGTGTTACCATTTTGTAGGCCTGATCCCTTACGCACAGTTGTTAAAAGTAGATAAAGTCTGAAGGCGTCTAGCCGTGCACTGCACCATCCCACAGTGCTCTTCCCTAGTACCTGAGTGTTGGGCTGCTGACTGCTTCCTTTAGACACGAGAAGTGGAAATGGCTCATCAGAGTTCCATGAATGTTGATATGTTTTATAAACGTTGTTCCCAAAGTCTGGGTCTACAAGAAATACATGAATATTTTTCAGACAGCATTAGAACAACACTGTAAGTGGGACGGGCGTGTTGAAACTTTGTCCGACTTGGGCTTTTGGTTTTTTTTCAGTCTCTCATTTTGAAGATGCTATTTAAAGAGAACTATAACTTTATAGCTCTTTGATTTTAGATAGTTTTAATTTATTTTTGAATGTTAATCCATTTCTGATACATGGTTTTAACAAGAATTTATATATACTAAATTATATTCCCCTAAATCCACTATATGTGGGTTTAAATGAATTTTTCTCCTGTTTTCAGAATTAAAACATTTATATTTAATTTCATTTTTTTCTTTTCTTTTCTTTTTTTTAAAGAAAAGATCTCACTATGTATCCCTGGTTGGCCTGGATCTCACTGTGTAGACCAAGTTGGCCTCAGACTTCCCCCAAGTGCTGTGCCACCAGCCCAGCAACTTTCTACTCTGGTCACCTCTCACTTTGCTGTCACATGCTGAAGGTTGGTTTTTCATTACTGTTACTGTAAACAGTAACAATCTGAAATGAGTTTTCTTTGACTTTAATTTTATATAATCATTTGGAAAATACTAATGTTCCAAATCATCCCCATCATTTCAACAGTGTGACTTTTCAAATTACCTTTCTCGGTCTCTCTGCTTCCATTTGGTTGGTACTTAAATTTCCCATTGGAATCATGATTTAAATTTTCCCCACCCCATGGGGAAAACTTAACCCTGAAATTCAAAGCCTTTCAGCTCTGTGCTGGCTTGAGAGTTACTAGGAAAGTCTCTCCTGGCCTCAGGAGGAACTGAGTACCCAGGACGCCCCGTATTTCCTCATCATTTTGCAGTAAGCCTTAAACAGTCTCCACTAAGAAGAGAGTTTCCTACAAGTAGAGATGAAGCGGAAGTCTGTGGTTGTAGTCATGGGGGAGATAACTTACAGCCAGTGGGCAGCCCTTCACAAAACATTCACAAGCTGCCCATGACTCTGTCAGGTGGGGCTCCTGCTACTGTCTTCTCCTCCTAGAACTTGCAGTTCTAAGATCGGATGGCTGATAGTTTTCAGAGACATTTGTTGAACTTGGTAAAGGTGAAAGGGAGATGGTATATTGTAATCCTTATAAATACTATATTTTTTTAGGGCTTTATCATTTTTGTCCTTTGTGCTAGCTGTGGGGAATCTGGCAGGCTTCCTCAGTGGCCCACCAGCTGCGTGCCGATGCTGCTGAAGCCTTTGTCTAGACCTTTCAGTTCTGTCCCAGGTTACCAGTTGTTGGCTTTCTCACAAAACAAAACCGTGCACATCATGTTTACATGGCATTTCCCGCAGTGTGCTTGGCTTGACAGACAAGCTGACTTCTCTAGGAGACTTGCGTTTTATGTTTTCATAAAGACTTAATCTTTTTTTTTTTTAATTGTACAGCAAGGTGCTCTAAGTAATATTCTATAAATATATTTAATGGAAATTTGAGTTTGATATTCATGGACATCAATGTGGTTTTTTTTTCTTTTCAAGGAGTAAGTATTGTGTAACACTATGGCATTGCTTCTCTAGCCAAAGCATAGACCCTTCTGGAACACTGACTGATGTGTAAAGACAACGGTTGATTCTGCTGCCGTGTGTTACTCTAACCTTTAAAATACCTTTACAAACCATCTAATGGGATGGTTTGCATTTGGTAAAGTTATCCTGCACATCCAGCTGCATGCCTTAAAGCCAAAACTCTAGAGTTGTGTTCATGGTAGAACAGCTCATCTATTCAGAACAGGGAAGCAAGCTCTCTAGCACTTCCTTAACTACCTTTGGAAATACTGTACAATGTTGGAATAATTTATTTTGCTTTACAGGAGTTTGTCATGTATTGACTTTAATATTGTATTTTGGTAATAAATTTTTTTGTTAAAAACATTTGCTTCTAAGTTTTATTAACAGCACATGCCCATTTTTATCTTGGATATTGGCTTATTTAGAAAGTTGTATTTGAATCATTGAAAGTGTCCCAAGGGTTAAATTAAGGTTTATCACTCTTTGATAACCTGTTAAGCTACTGCTGACTGGTAGTCATGACGTTCCATAAAGGTAATGGAGAAAGTCTTAGCTTTTTTAATCATTTCACATTCAGTCTAAATTGGAAGCCTGTTCCATGTTATACAACTCTTTGTTCTCTCTTCCAAATCATGCAGTAAATGCTTTAGTTCTGATGCCCGCAAGGGGGCTGCTTCCATCAGGATAATTAGTACATGGTGCTGAAGGCCGAAGACCGGTGATGAGCCACCGATGCTCTCGTGACTGCAGCACTGGTTTTGGTTTCCATCTTGCCCTAGAGTATCAGGCCACCTCAGCTAGAGGTGACCAAAGCTAAAATCCCTTGCCCTGTGCTCCTTAGCGTGCTGTACCCCATGTCTTTTATCTCTCAAGGACCAGATCTCAACACTGTGCCACTACCAGTTGGTTGTAGAAATCCCAGCATGAACAATCCAGATCCAGAGCGTAGGGTCCCACTGGACATCCGTGGTCATGGGTGATGACTGAGTACTAGACACACAGTTGATAAGTTAGTTCTAAGTATAAAATGCGCAACCGTTGCAAACATTTAGTACAGAAAGAAATGTAAAGTATTTCAGTAGTTTTTTATATTGACTACGTGTTAAAATATTTTGGATATAGTGGGTAAATAAAACATTAAAGTTATTTTCACCTTGTGTTAGCTTTTCGTTGTGATGAAATAGCTTTAAAACAAACAATTGTTAGCCAGGCATGGTGGCACACGCCTTTGATCTCAGCAGAGGCAGCCTTTGATCCGGCAGAGGCAGCCGGATCTCTGTGAGTTCAAGGCCAGCCTGGTCTACATAGTGAGTTCCAGGACAGCTGGGGCTACAGAGAAGCCCTGTCTCAAAAAGACCAAAAAAAAAAAAAAAAAACATTTTATAGTTGTTTCATAACCAAATTGCATTTCTTACTTGGCTCTGCAATTGGGGGTTTTTTGGTGGATTTTGTTTGGGTTTTTTGATGGTTTTTTGTTTGTTTGTTTGGTTAGTTGGTGTTTGAAGACAAAGCCTCACTATGTAGCCCCAGCTGGTCTGGAATTCATTACTGGACAGAGTGGAGTCCATCCTCTCCTTGGTTCTCTCCTTTCCCCTTTACATGGTTTCCAGGGATCAAACAGCTCACCAGGCTTGCACAGCCACTATCCTTACCCACTGAGCCATCTTACCAGCCCCTCACAGTTCTTCTTACCTACATTTTCCAAGGCTCCTGTCTATATTGTTTCAATGGTATTTAAAGCCAAACAATTTGTTTAAAGTAACGAAGAATAATTATTAAATGATGGTGCTCTTTGGCTAGAGATGGCTTAGCACTTCAGAGCCTGTTGCCAATCCAAAGGACCTGAGTTCAGTGCCCAGTATCCCCATGAGACAGCTCATAACTGTTAATTCCAGCTCTAGGGGCATTTGATGTTTCTGACCTCTGTAGGCATGGGTGCTCATGTGTTCATAAACACACATAATTAAAAATAAAAATACGGCTGGTGAAATGGCTCAGTGGATAAAGGTACTTAACACCAAGCCTGGTGACCTGGATTCAACCCCTGGGACCCATATGGTGCAAGGATAGAACTGATTCCTGAAAGTTGTCCCCTCTGGTCTCCACATGCATCACACACACACACACAATTGTAAAAACTAACGCTGCTCTGAAAAGTACTGTTTTCCTGCTGGCAGCCTTCCCATATCCACACTGCTCTCAGGGATTGACCCTTTGGGTATGTGGGCCCTTTAACAATGCTGTTGTCACAGAATCTGCCTGTGTCGTCCTGGCACAAAGTGAGCTTGGTAACTACTCTAGACAGGGTGACCCTTGGCCTGAGTGATCCAGGATGCAACAAGGAGCCTGTTAACACTACAGTAAATAGCATGTGGGATTCCATAGACAAGTTCACGGGTGGAGGTGGCTTTGGCTTTGCTGTGGAGCTGTTGATTAGAAGGGCTGGGGCTGGAGAGATGGCTCAGTGGTAAGAGCACCAGCTGCTCTTGAAGAGGACCCGAGTTTGGTTCCCAGCACCCACATGGTGGCTAACAACCATCTATATGTGGGTGCACTCACATACATGCAGGCAGTAAACCAACACATAAACTAAGAGCTAAGGAAAAGTCACAGACTTCCAGATCAACCAGCTAAGATGTAAAGTGAGACATTTCTGCCTCTGTAGAGCTTTAGACAAGTCTCATGTTTTTGAAAATGAGAGATTTTTAAATTTTAAAAAAATATTTAGCTTTATGTCTAGGTGGGGCAGGAGGCTAACGTACGCAAATGTGCAGGTGCCCATGGAAGCCAGAAGAGGCACCAAGTTCCCTGGAGCTGGAGTTACAGGTGGTTGTGAGCTGCCTCACATGGGTGTCGGGAGCCAGTGCAAGAGCAGGGGAGGCTCTTAACCGCTGAGCCAAATCTCCAGCCCCAACAAGTCTGATTTTTTTTTTTTTTGTCTTTTTGAGACAGGGTCTCCCTGTAGATCCAGCTGGTCTGGAACTCACTATGTAGACCAGGCTGGCTCACTATGTAGACCAAGTGCTGGGATTAAAGGTGTGGCCACCACACCTGGCAACAAGCCTGATTTTCATTATAGCTATGACGTAGATTTGTTTAGGTAATGAGTTTGGGTGTAGATCTCAAAATCCTGCGTGGGCAGCAAACCCCAGTCAATGTGCTGCGTTAGGGGCTGTAAGCCTCGTTTTCCTGGTAGAATACTAATAAATTATAGTCTCTAGGTTTATCACTAGAACAACAAAGTGTTGGTAAAATTATGCCAATTTAATGTGTATTGATTTTTTTCTTATAATCACTTTTAATCATTTGCCTTATCAAAGATTGTAATAAGTTCAAGTTAAAATATCTGATTTTAGGCATCTCATAAAACAGTACAAGTTGTCACATGCTGGTCTTTTGGTTCCTTCTTCACCAGATTTACACACCACTTGTGTTACTGACTCCAGATAGCAAAGGCACCATTCTAAATCAGCTCACAATACTGAGTGCATGACCAGTATGTCTATGGAAACGCCGAGGTAGTCAGAGCCTGTGTGCTGAAAGGATTCCGCCCCTTGGGTAGATAGTTTTATTTGTGCAAATCAAAAAATAAGGAATCTACCTGGCATGGTTCATTCCTAGCACTCAGGAGGCAGAGGCAGGTGGATCTCTGTGATAGGCTAGCCTGGTCTACATAGCAAGTTTCAGGCCAGCTGGGGCTACAGGAAGACCCTATCTCAAAGAACAAAAAAAGAAGCTGGGCATGGTGGTGCACACCTTTAATCTCAGCACTTGGGAAACAGAGGCAGGTGGATCTCTGTGAATTCGAGGCCAGCCTGGTCTACATAGTGAGTTCCAGGCCAAGCAGGACTACAGGGAAACCCTTTCTCAAAAAAAAAAAAAAATCTGTACATATGGGCTGGGGATTTAGCTCATAGTCTACATAGTGCATTCTAGGCCAGCTGGGGCTATAGGAAGACCCTGTCTCAAAAACAACCCCCCCCAAATGTGTACACAGTGGAAAACTAGGACCTGAAAAAGCCTATATCAAAATGAAATGTGCTGGGTGTGGTAATACACACCTGTAATTCCAGCATTTGGGAAGTGGAGGCAGGAATATGTGAAGCTCAAAGCCAGCCTCAGCTACATTGTGAGTAGAGGCCAGTCTGGGCTACAGTGAGACCTCGTCTTAAAATCTTAAATAGGCCGGGTGTGGTGGCGCATGACTGTAGTCCCAGCACTTGGGAGGCAGAGGCAGGTGGATCTCTGTGAGATCTGCCTCTGACCAAGGCCAGCCTGGTCTAGATAGTGAGTTCCAGGACAGCTGGGGCTACAGGGAGACCCTGTCTCAAAAAGACAAAAAAAAGATCTTAAATAGATAAAAATAATAAAAACGCACGCTATTCATTTTTCAAGTCTTTTATTAGCACCTACCAGTGTTATTTAAAGATTTAGCGCCAGAGTGCACATCTCCAAATTTTTTACTTTTTCTCCTTGTCATTTTATTAATTTTAGTATCCATATTCAGAAATAACATGGCTGCACATCACTGAAATAGACACATCAATCCACAGCTTGCTCTCTTTGTTTGTAGCGGCAGTCCTATTTAAATTCAGTGTATCCAACCACAAAAGGTGTTAGAAAATTTTATTTCAGGCTTGTAAGAAAAAGTATAGCAGAATGTGATTGAAATCAAGCTGTGTTTATTTCTGCTCATCTGAAGCTAAGATTCTACAAAAAGTTATGCAAAATAAATAATTGAAACCAGGCCAATCTAAAAGATAAGTGATCCCAGCACTCGGGAGGCCGAGGCAGGAAGATCAAGAGTTCAAAGCCAGTCTGGGCTATATAAAACCCTATCTCAAAAATAAAAAAATAACAACCAGGCACGCTTGCACATGCCTCTGACATTCCTGACAGAGAAGCCCTAGCTCTGGTTCACCATTTGAGGTAGGGAACCTGTTCACACCTCAGCCTCAACTTCTGGTCACCACGTATGATTAGGGCTGTCCTTGGCCTTCAGAGAAGCCCCTTGTTGCAGCAGGCAGAGGGAAATGCAGAAACCTATAGTTGACCAAAGTACTGAGAATAAGTGATGTTGGAGTGCTCGGCCGTAAGTGGGACAGCTGGAACCTCCTCTCCAAGGCTCAGGAAACTGCAGAAGGGGCAGTGTAGGAGCCAAAGGATGGAGAGGTGTGTGACAAAAAAGACATCTTCTGGACCTGACATGGTCATTGCACTCATGAACTCACTGCAGCTGGGGCTTTCTGCACAAGACCTGAACTAGACTGGGCTCATCAGCATTTCATCATGGATGACATCTATGAACAGTTAATGGTGGCTGGGGGAGGCGGTGGTGTTTTCTTCAGTAGTATGGCCACCAATAAGCTGCCTTGGCTCCAGGGAATGCAAGCACTCT